GAAAAGGTTCAGAAAGGGGCAACTAAAATGATTGGGGGTTGGAATGGGTCCCATATGAGGAGAGATTAAAGAGGCTAGGACTTTCCAGCTTTGAAAAGAGGAGACTAAGGGGGGATATGATAGAGGTATATAAAATCATGAGTGACGTGGAGAAAGTAAATAAGGAAAAGTTATTTACTTGTTCCCATAATATAAGAACTAGGGGCCACCAAATGAAATTAATGGGCAGCAGGTTTAAAACAAATAAAAGGAAGTTCTTCACACAGCACACAGTCAATTTATGGAACTCCTTGCCTGAGGAGGTTGTGAAGACTAGGACTATAACAGGGTTTAAAACAGAACTGGATAAATTCATGGAGGTTAAGTCCATTAATGGCTATTAGCCAGGATGGGTAAGGAATGGTGTCCCTAGCCTCTGTTTGTCAGAGGATGGAGATGGATGGCAGGAGAGAGATCACTTGATCATTACCTGTTAGGTTCACTCCCTGTGGGGCACCTGGCATTGGCCACTGTCGGTAGACAGGATACTGGGCTAGATGGACCTTTGGTCTGACCCAGTACAGCCATTCTTATGTTCTTAGAGAAGGCAGTATATATGCTAGTCTCCTTTTCCCAGCTTGTTCCCAACTGCCTGGGTGAGAGGGGAGATTTGCCCCACCCGCCTTTCAAGGCCCTTAAAGAAACAATGACTGTCTTTCTCCCAAGCACTACTTATTCTCAGGACTGCTTCCTCTTTACCAATACCTCTTATTTCCTAGGTCTTTGAATAAACAAACAAAAACCTTCCAAAATGTTGAAGGCCCATGCCATGTAACTGGGGGTGGGCTGACCAGTAAGCACTGCTACCCTTAAGGGCATACTACCCTGTCACAGCTTTTTTCTACTTGCTCAGTGTCTAACATAATGGAGCCCTGTTCTCAGTCAGTCCCTAGGTACTACCATAGTGAATATAATAAATATTAAACAACATATTTATGAGGAGAAGGGGCTGACATGTAGAATAAGTCATGGTGGAGAGGGATTAGTGGGTAAAGGACAGACTACCAAAGGTGAATCATACATATATCGTATGATTGAGTGATTAACATATGGATACTACTACTTACCCAGAGCACACTTTTGCACACAATAAACAGATACATAAATAAATTTTGAACCCAGGCTTCACCAATCCTCTAACTTTGCATCTGCATTATTTGAGGGAAAATGTATTGCCACTTAGTCATATATGTACTTGACTGAGCTTGTAATGTAAACATCTAAATTATTTCAGTTGCACCCATAATTTGCTAGCATAGAAATGGTGGCCAGCATCTTCATATCTAACTACATAGGAACATAATAAAAGGTGGAATTTATAAAAGCAACTGACTGTCCTATGAACACAAATCCTGTGGCCTTTCAATGGGACGTATGCTTTTTCACGCAGGCACTTTTGTAAATCCTACCCATGTACAATAAGAGTGGGATGTCAAAAGTGCTCAGTGTTGGCCCATCTCTTCTCCCACTGTAGAGCACTCAACAAAGACAACCCCCCATACACACACACCAGTATTTATCTACAGTCATAAAAAAGCAATGTGCTAGGATTCATAAGGAATGGGATGGTGAATAATACACAAATTTTTATAATGCCTTTATGTAAATCAATGGTACTGTGTGCAGTACTGTTCACGTCATTTCAAAAATAATATTGCAGAACAAGAAGGGGCAACAAGAGAGACCAAGGGTACAGAAAACCTCTCATATAAATAGAAATTGAAAATTTCTCAAAAGAATTAAGTGTTTTATACATTCATACGTAACCACTGAAATGAAACTACCTTTTTGGGAGCAGCAACCAAACAGCATACTGCACAATGATAAGAAAGGAATATTTTTGGGGGGTGAAGGGAAGGGATATGGAAATTTTTGCCACAGACCAAGAAAAAGGGATGATACGATGTTTAAAACCCATGGAGAGCAAAGGGAAACTTTGTTTTTAAAAGAACAGTGTTAACTTAAAAATCCCATCTTATAAAATTAATATCTTTGCTTATGTTACTAGAAATACTTCAAATTATTGAAAATGAAAGAACTATAAAAACCTTAGTTGAAATCCTGGCAACACAGAGGTCAATGGGAGCCAGGATTTCATCTCTTATTTATATTTCACTAGTTATACTGTGTACTTTCTGTATTTCTCAGCTTGAAAAATGATATTCAGTTAAATCTATTTAACTTCTGTGTATAATCTTTTTAACTTTAAAGTTCTCAGAGCTATGCAAAGCCAGGGCAGAATGTGTGTTAGAAATTGTTTTGACTCAAAGTTTTTAAAAAAAGTAATTGAAAGATTTCTATTTGTTTTGCGAAAGCTTGTTTTTTAAAAAAAATATTTTTGAGCCAATTTTAGTTGAAACTGTCCCTTTAAAGATGTCTGTCCATTAAATTGCATGGAACTCAATCTGTTTGCCTCAAAAGGATGAAAGGCTACATGGCCCCTGTCTGGATTTGAACTCTTGGTTCCATAGAGTCTAGGTATTTCAAACCCAAGGCTTAGACCACTAAGACATTTCTCTCTGGCATAACAACTCAATCCTTTCTATTTTAACATCTATGATATACAGATAAATGAATGCCTTGATAAAGTGATCAGCAAATAATTTGTGTAATAGTGATAATCTACTTTCATTAAAGAAACAAGCATTTACCTTGAACATGTTATTTCAGATACACTGGGTGGTATATAAAGTTACTGTGGCTTTTTGTCTTCATTTTTGTGCTATTGTATTGTCTAGGAAAATAGGTTTGTGAAAAATAACACTAACGCTGCACAGAGCTGTAGTTTTTTTCCTAGTAGCACATGAGAAAACCCCCTGTTTATTGCCCTTGTCTCATCACACTTCCATGGAGGTTTGCTTTGACTGGACACGCAAGCTACCTTTGCCAACCAAACCATAAAATAAATCTAATGTACCCTATAATACAGGCAACTGCAGTTAATATTGTTCAAATTATTTACATCTGAAGGGCCGCGCCTGTCTGGATGGCTGGGCCTGACGCTTCTCTGGACTTGGTTTCTGCTAATCACATCTGTTTCAGTTTTAGACTTTCACTGGTATTCTGGCAGCAGCCACAACTTTTTAACGGCTACAATAAACTACAGAGACTCATCAAATGTTTGTTGTATGTGTTAAAATTATATCCTCTTCAATTAAAACATTTGATGTGAACTAAACTACAGTGTTATCTAACAAGAGACATTTGAAAGGGAATGTTTAAAAAAAGGCATATTTACACACAATGCTCCTATTACTACTATTATGCACAATGTTCCTAGTATGACTATTTTTTTGTTTAAACATAAGAGAAATTCATTAGAGAAATGTATTAGCATTCCTCCAAAAATTTCTGGGTGCCTTTCAAGTGTTAAACACACTGGCACATCAAACGATTACAAGAATGTTTTTTGTTTGAAAACATTTGCTATGTGTCATAAAGTCATTACTTTCATCCATTATTTGACTTTGTCAAGTTTCATATATGTTTTTATACAGTAATATAATAAAGACACTCAGCACTATATTTATATTATTTTCCTATAAAAGCATCATCATCATCATCATCATCTTCTTCTTCCCTTTCTCCCATCATCTGTGGTCATATAAAAGCTTCTACCTTTCTTTATAATAGTCTGACAAAATATACATCTTGAAGCACAAAAACAAAAGATCACAACAAAAATATAAATCTAATAAAAATAGGGAAGCCTGAACTATCGTGTTTTTCACTACCCCTCCTTTTTCTCTCTCTCTTTATTTTCTTTGCAATTTAGCACTAAAATCATGTAAATGTCAAAGCCTTACAGCGCAGCCTGTAATGGTGAAATGCACGGCAGCAGAACTACATGCTGGAGTAGAAGAACATCAAACACAGATCATGTTTCTGCACAAACTAGCAGGAGAGAGGGCAGGCCAAGGGTTTTACAGGGCCAAGAGATGAGAGGAGATAGAGCACTCGCCTATTCCTGGGTTGAATAAACAACAACTGATACCTTCCTACCACTGTTGACCTTTGAAACCCTCCTTCAGCCATTTCTAACTGGAAGAATAAATTAGTTTGCAATGGTTTTTATTGCCTTACACTGAATAATAGAATACAGTCATCTTGCTCAATTCTGAATCTAAAATTGTTTTGTTTGGAACCCCCCCCCCCGAGAAGTTAATATATTATTTAAATTTAAGCAGAATATTCTGTATATTCTTTTATGTAGAATTCTTTTCTTGAAATCCCATTTTTATACAAAACAGCCTTAGTATTACTTTTTCCTAACAAAAGTGAGAAGCGAAAAATATTCAGTCATCATTTGCTGTGTTTATTTAAGAAAGTCTTACAAAGCATGAGGTAAAAATGAAACTGTCTAGAATACTTAGAGAGCAACCCACTCCTATTTTATTTCTAACTCAGTGCTTTGATTGATAGAAGACTTGCCTTTCTGAGCCCCTTTTTATAATAAACATTTTTAAATATTTATTTCATGTCTAAGGGTAAAACATATTTTGAGCTGAAGCTCTCCATTTCCCTTTGCTGTGTCTTGGCAAGCAGTGCTTTATTTTTACATTAATAGTATTCAAATTATTTCTTGTAGCTGTTAAATTGTTATACAAGGACTGTGGCAAGTATTTATGCCATTGGACTAAGAGGTATCTACAGTTAAACACAGAATCCTGGAGAAGCCAGAGGAAAATTCCTACATAATTAAAGCAAATTTCCAAGAGATTTCTTTTAGGGCCCTTTGAATTTAAAAGGGATTATGGAAAATTACTTTTTGCTGGTCTTGCTTTCATTTTTAAAAAATCATGATGTACACTTATTTTTATTTTATGTTTGTAATTTGTGCCAGGGTGTAAATATGTAGAGTGAACAACACTACAAACCTAATTAGTAATAAACAAAACTCAAAGTTCACTTTTTAAATGGCACTCAGTTGTTAGCATAACAATGTAAAAGTTCCCAGTTACCTTCTAGATCTCTCTTCAGTTTTCTTAAGTCTTTTACTAGGTCTTCAAACTTAACTTGGGAGGCCTGGAAGAAATCTTGTGGTTCTGGTAGAGGAAAAATACTCTTGTCTGTTCCTGCATCCTAAAACAAACAAACAAACAAACAAACTCATGCATCTGTGCCCGGAAAAAAAATACTCCTGGCATAGATGCCCTTCCCGAGTGTAAAAAATTACTTGCGTGGGAGTTTTTTCCCAGTGGGGGAAAAAACCTAAGGTAGACAAGCCCTGAGTCTTCTCAAATTGCACTACTGTAATAACAGAAATACTTACTGTCTAGTCCCTCTAGTTAATTTCCTGTCCCAGGTATAAAGTGACAAGATCTTTGAGGCGCTATCCCTGCTACATTTTGGGCTTTGTTCAAAAATATTTTCCAAGAACTGGTTTTGAAAACATTTGTTGGTAAGAGTTGTCAGCTACTGTACAATGGGGAATTTCCCTCCCCCCAACCATAATTTCTGAAAACCATTGAAAGTAGACAATCTTGGTCTTAGTATTCAATTTTATAAATTTTATTTTCCCTGTTGGAACTATTTTATCCAGACAAGAAAAATTAGTAATAAATTCAAGTCTTTCTCTAATCTTTGTCTCTTTGTCAACACAATTTCTCTAAGTAATATACTGATACAGTAGTTAATTCAGCAAATGAATCATTTACCTTGTCGAAGTGTCGTAGGTAATATATGACAACATAATCCACAAGATTAATACCATTATCCTAGGAAGAAATTAAATATATTAATTAAAAGGTTAAGTTGGGAGTGAAAACAATTTCAAAAGACATATGATGAAAGTAGTTTTAAATCAGTTTAAAAGGAATATAATCCCATGTTATTAATTTACGTGGCCTTGTGGAGTAGAATCCACAATGTTTTAGTCGCAGTATAGTATAGTATAGTATAGTATAGTATAGTATAGTATAGTATAGTAAAATAATTGGGGACCTGATCTTCCCACCACAGGACACCAATAAGTTCTACCAATTGGAGTTACTGGGATCCTGCAGTGGGAAAAACTGCCAGGTGTTACAATTCTCTAATAATTCAAGTAATTATATTAACAAACATTGTAATTGCCTGAAAAATTTCAATAAATTCACACATTTTAAAATTCACAGGTTTTAAAGCTAAATGGGACCTTTAGTTTATTTAGCCTCACCTTCTGTATAACACAGACCATGAAGTGTATAAGCATTCCATACCTTTTATACCAAATATAAAACCATGGAGTATACACATGCTCAGTGCATTTCATACATAGTGTATGTTGTTTCATGAATATATACTTCTACGATGTTAAAAGATTTTCACTCTACAAAGCCACTACTTTCTCGGTCCTGCATTGCCTGTATTATTGCGCATGACAATGTTTTATTTTCGTATGTTACTGAATCAATTTACCCCATTTCAGCTGTGGAAACGGATAAACAGTGCTCAGGTATGGAATCATAAATTACAGGAAATTATTAAACAGCACAAAAGAAAGACAATGTAGTGTATTATATATGGAATGTCTTTGATGTCTTTTTTTTCATTTGTATATAGCGTACTGATAGCTATCAGGGTAAAGGTTCGGATATGCACAATGTATGACTTCCTGCACAGAGCTGTCTGGTGTATATTTGAGTCTGCAGCACATTACATTTTATTAATAACACAGAGCAGCAAAATTCGTAACTAAGCAAGTCACTACTCTTCATACAGGCAAAACAATATATATATATATATATATTGCCCTTGTGAAGTAAAACATTAGTTCTACTTTATTCTATATATACTCTTTCACCACACTGTGACAGAATGTACCCGGGTCCACACGCTACACATTACTGTAATAGTCTCTATACAAAGTATGCTTTGTGAGATATCATTTGAAAACTCATAATTTGCTGGTTATTATTGACCTGATAAAATGTGTGTGGCAACATTGTATGTTAAGTGGTAAGATTCCACTGTACGGTGTTATTACCACATGTTCCAAACTGAGGTTGTCCAACAGGTCTTTCTCAAACAAAGCAATGTGCTCTCTGCTTAATTTGCACTTAACCAGTAAACAGAGTCACCAAGCAACAAGAGAAACAAAAGAAGCTCCAACATGTGAGGAAAAGCAGCAGGGAGCATCCTTTCCTGTAGACACTTTGTCTCCTGAATCTCAGATGGAAATGTTTTTTCAAGAGGAGGACTGACACTAAAAAAAGGAGGGACAAACACCTCATGACACCCTTCTCTTTCTCCCTACCCATCGCATTCATGGCATTAGCAGCAACAAAGGAAACATTCACTGGACTGGAGAAGGGGTTTTGACCTAAGAAGTCTGGTCAGAAAGACTGCTGAGAGCATGTGGTGAGAAAACTTTGCTTTGAATTTAACATAGTTTGTTAAGTTAGGCATCAATTGCGTTTTATCTTTATTTTTCTTGTAACCATTCCTGACTTTTATGCCTCATTACTTGTACTCACTTAAAATCTGTCTTTGTAGTTAATGAACTTGTTTTATTGTTTTATCTAATCCAGTGTGTTTAGACTGAAGTGTCTGGGGAACTCCATTTGGTGTGGCAAGTTATGTGCATATTATTTCTTCTGAAGCAATAACAGACTTTATATAAAATCGTATTGTCCAGGAGAGGGTTGGGCATACAATGGACATACATTTTGGGGGGAAGGTCTAAGACTGGGAGTGTGTTGGGGTCACGCTGCAGTATAACCAAGGCTGGTAAAAGCCAAGGTGTGGCTGGCTGGCTGGCTGCAGCACACACAGACGTAGCTGGGAGTGACTTGCCTGAAGGAGGCTGTTTGTAAGCAGTCCAGACTGGAGGTTACAACAGTAAAGCACTGTAAAGGGCACCCCAGGTTAGTGTAAGGGTGACACAGCCACTCATTAGTCTGGATTGTACCTTAGTATGTTACACACACCTATCACCTTGGTTTGGTTAGGACAGGCAGAAGACTGGGTCACTGACACAGAGACAGATTTTAAAGGGCAGGACCACAACTTTATTATCTTTCCAGGCCTCCATGCCACATATTCAATATTCAGGGTTGGTTCTTTTCAGCCTAAAAGGTGGGACGTATAGAGCCAAAATGGGACATATAGTCATCCTAAGCCGGGGTCCCCAAGCTTTTTTTTTTAAGCCAATTGCAACAGGGAGAGTTATAAAATTCCCACCTTCTCCCCTTGCCAGGCATGATCACCATGTGCATTCAAGATGAGAGGGGCACAGAGCAGCCAAGCCTGCACTCCCCAATCCCTGCTCCCCCCAGAACCACCAGGTTTGTCTTTCCACTGCTCAATTGCTCAAACATCATCCCTGCTGAGACGGAGGTAGGGCAACATGAGCCCCCAAAGTGGCTAATTTTTAAGTGTCCTGACTAAAGCCTTAAGTAACTATCCAGAGACCCTTTGGGTTTGCAGTTTTTCAGAACAGAATTTGCCATCTAGGCTGATTTTTCTTCTTCACTCAGTATAGCAGTTCAGAATTCTTGTGTTACAACTGTTATTTGAAAAAGATGTGATACTTGCCAACTTAAAAATGAAGACAGGCAACACTTTGCAGACATGGGCAGACTCTTCCACCAAGAATCCAAACCCATAAACTCAAATCTGATCCTTCCGTTTTACAGTTTCTAGCCATTGTTCCTAAACTTGGCCCTCAATGTATTTCCTCACATGCTAGTGGCTTTTGTAAAGACATGCAACTAATATCAGGAATGAAGGTTGGGGACAGTCACTGGAGAAACCTTCTGCCCTCTGTGCTCTCTTAGATGTCTTTAACTCTGCACTGGCTGAATTTTGACTGAAAAATACACAAAAAGGCTTTGAAACCAGGATAATTTTTCCAATGGCAGAATCTAGGTGAGACAGGAGATGTCTGTGTGTGCATGTGTGAGGCAGGGGGCAAATTGGGGAGAAAAAGACAGAGGCCAGTAGTCAGTGATGAGGAAAATTCTTTGTGATGCAAATGATCTGTGCAAAAGAACAATGAAGAGAGAAGGGAGAAACATTCCAAAAGTAACATCTACAAAGCGTGCTGCTGTTTAAAACAGATAATAGTAAGAGGCAAGAGAGAGCTCAACCTTTTGCAGATGATGGAACATGAAAAAGATCACTTGACAAATGCCCTTTAAAGTAAAAACAAGTACTTACTCTGCTCTTGACATCCTTTAGTTTGGGAAGAATTTCCAAACCAAATCCATCTGCTTGACCTCGTGTCCTGTTCCCCCCATTCATATAATTTCCAAAAGCCAAAATCAAGCCTAAAATTTCCTTCACACTTGTCATGTCCAGCAAATCCTGAAAGAGGAATACTAATTTGTAACATCAGGTGGTACAAGAAGTTTACAATTCTTTTACTGTTGCCCATGAATGTTACAATGATGAGACAGACAAAAATTATGGATTTCCCCAAAGACTCATACCAATATTTACCACAATACCAGTGAAAGAGTCCCAACCGTTTTCTACAACTAGTACTTAAAGTGCAGTAATCATGAAAATGCCATTATGAGGTTCCATGTTTGTCACTCACTGATTTCTCATCAAAGTAAAGTAAAAGGATGTTTTGTGATTTTGGGCTCTGGACACTGCAGGAGTCAAGCTGGATTCTTTTTTTCCTCCCTCGGTATTCTCAGTAGTAAAGATTCTGCAGTCCAAATGATTCCCTCAATCCACCCTCTACAAAACCAGGAAGCTTTCAATGGGAATTGAACAGGTGCTACTAAGGAAACAACCAGAAGACCATGGACTTGCACAGCTGTAACTGTGTGCATTAATTTGGCCTGCAGCAGCTTTCTTTCATTCTCTCACAAAATCACCAGCCTTACTCTCAGAGCCCAGGGGGTGCAGAGTTGGCAGTTTAAAAACAATTCATTCCTTTGCAAATTGAGAAAAAGTATTATTATTATTTGTTTTAGAAAAGTGCATAAGAGCGCTAGTTCTGGAACAGGACCCCAGTGAGGTAGGTGCCATACAAACAGAACAAAAAGACAGATCCTACCCCAAGAGCTTACAATCAAGTAAAATCTGACATGAAATCACTGAGGTATAAACACAGAAGGGCACAATGCCAATTTTAGAGTAACATAAGAGAGCAGAATCAAGTACTGTCATTCACATCACTACCCATTAGGCCAATGTGTCAGTTCTGGACAAACTGGAGAGAGGGCAGATGTGGACAAACTGGAGGGCAACAAAAATGATCTGGGGGCTGGTGCACATGACTTATGAGGAGAGGCTGAGGGAACTGGGCTTATTTAGTCTGTAGAAGAGAAGAGTGAGGGGGCATTTGATAGCAGCCTTCAACTACCTGAAGGAGGTGGGGGTTTCCAAAGAGCATGGAGCTAGGCTGTTCAAAGTGGTGGCAGATGTCAGAACAAGAAATAATGGTCTCAAGTTGCAGTGGGGGACGTTTAGGTTGGATATTAGGAAAAACTATTTCACTAGGAGGGTGGTGAAGCACTGGAATGGGTTACCTAGGGAGCTGGTGGAATCTCCATCCTTAGAGGTTTTTAGGGCCCGGCTTGACAAAGCCCTGGCTGGGATGATTTAGTTGGTGTTGGTCCTGCTTTGAGCAGGGGATTGGACTAGATCCTCCTGAGGTCTCTTCCAACCCTGATATTCTATGATTCTCATATTTAAAATCTAATTTTCAAGGCTACATAAGAATTTTTCCATGCTAGAATTCAACATACAAGTGGATTTTTTGGTTTGTTGGCAATTCAAAAAAAAAAAAATCATTTGGGGGTCAAATTGAAAATTAAAATGTTTGAAAATTTCACCAAAAAGAAAAGTTGAAAAAAAACTTTGTTCTGGGTCAAACATTTCATTTGATCCAAAATAAAACATTGTTCTGAGCATTTTTAATGTTTACATATTAAAAAAATAAAGCTGAAAAAAATTTCAAAACAGTTTTGAATTTAAAAATCAAAATGTTTCATTTAGGAAATGTCAAAGTGAAACATTTTGATTTTTTTAAAAGTTTTTTTACAACCAAAACAATTTGGTGAAATCAAATTAAGCCACAAAATGTTTCAGTGTCACCAAATCTGCATTTTTTGTCAGAAATAGTTTAAGCTGAAAAATTTCACCTAGTTCTACATGTAGGTGCTGAGTCACACAATGAATTTCTTTCAGAAATATTGGAAAGAGATACTATACCAATGTAAGAACACAGTTGTTTGTCTGTGTAAAACAGAAATGGGCCAAGAGGTTGCTGTTTGGATTCAAGATTACAATTTTGGCCCATCACTAGGTTAAAGTGATAAGAACATAAGAACGGCCGTACTGGGTCAGACCAAAGGTCCATCTAGCCCAGTATCCTGTCTACCAACAGTGGCCAATGCCAGGTGCCCCAGAGGGAGTGAACCTAACAGGTAATGATCAAGTGATCTCTCTCGTGCCATCCATCTCCACCCTCTGACAAACAGAGGCTAGGGACACCATTCCTTACCCGTCCATTAATAGCCATTAATGGACTTAACCTCCATGAATTTATCCAGTTCTCTTTTAAACCCTGTTATAGTCCTAGCCTTCACAACCTCCTCAGGTAAGGAATTCCACAAGTTGACTGTGCTCTGTGTGAAGAAGAACTTCCTTTTATTTGTTTTAAACCTGCTGCCCATTAATTTCATTTGGTGACCCCGAGTTCTTGTATTATGGGAATAAGTAAATAACTTTTCCTTATCTACTTTCTCCACATCACTCATAATTTTATATACCTCTATCATATCCCCCCTTTGTCTCCTCTTTTCCAAGATGGAAAGTCCTCGCCCCTTTAATCTCTCCTCATATGGGACCCTCTCCAAACCCCTAATCATTTTAGTTGCCCTTCTCTGAACCTTTTCTAGTGCCAGTATATCTTTTTTGAGATGAGGAGACCACATCTGTATACGGTATTCAAGATGTGGGCGTACCATTGATTTATATAAGGGCAATAATACATTCTCTGTCTTCTTCTCTATCCCCTTTTTAATGATTCCTAACATCCTGTTTGCTTTTTTGACCGCCTCTGCACACTGTGTGGACATCTTCAGAGAACTATCCATGATGACTCCAAGATCTTTTTCCTGATTTGTTATAGC